TGACCCCCCCAAGACTGCTCTGAATTAGCTCAATTGAGGTGTGGTAACGATTGACCTCGGGACTCGGGTCTCAAATTTGTTGGGCAAACGGGTTAAATTCAACCAGGGTTCTCTCTCCTGAACCTGCTGATAAGTGCACGTGTGTGGTCACTGGGTGAGGACAGGATCGAGCTCAACTTGCCCCCAATTCATCGCTAACTTTCACACATGAATAATGGTCACATGGGTGGTGGAGGGCAACCAGCACCCATGAAACCAATTACTCTTTAGAAATAGGAGCTAAACCCTTCCAAGACTTTTTTTTGTCTGGCCGGGTGTCTGACTCATGTGGAGGAACGTACTACCCCTTACATTTGATATTAATAATAATAATAATAATCCTTGCATTTGTTATAGTGCTTTTCATGTCTTCTAGACGTCTCAAAGCGCTTCACAGAATAAACTGTAAAGTGAATTGACTGTATATTTGTGGGCGAAACGCGGCAGCCATCTGCGCACAGCAGTGTCCCACAAACAGTCGTAGATTGAAGTGACCAAATTATTCATTTTTTTTCTTGAGAGAATATTACCAAGCGTGTGGAGTAAGGAAACTTGCCCAAGGTTTCGCCCTGCTAGAAATATTGTGCCTTTCATGTTGGGAGGATGTCTCAAAGCGCTTCACAGGATACATTATGAAGTGTCATTTTGTCACCGTGCTTAAGTGTCCACGTCGGACTGAGAGTTGCGTGGATGCCCCCTACACATGGAAATTTCAACAGAGGGGAGAAAACTGGAGAGAAGTTTGTACTGTATATCCAAAATAGGATGAAATGGAATAGTTAAAAACCTGGTATAATTGGTGGTGCTAAAGATAAAAGAACCTGTAAGCCAAGCTGAAAAACAAGCCTAGATTTACTGATAGATCAATTGTATTCCCGTTGTAAACTTAATATTTTCAGCTATAAATTTTAAGTAAAGAAGATCCCTCTTTTGCAAAGCTTTCAGTTTGCTGTGTTTATAACTCAAAGTGCATACAGTCATGTTCTGTAGCACATCCTACGTGGCTGCTGTGAGATGCACTGCTTGACTTTCCACAAATTGTAACCTCGTTAAAATTGCAGGGGCAAAAATTTAAAAAGAAAAGAAAATGGATCCATTGGTAAATTCTTCGGCAAACAGTTCCGAATATAACAGAAATGTGGCTGCAGAGCACACTTCCCGCTTCATAGTGATGCCCTGTTGAGTCAATTTTCCTCGTAGGGTAAATACTAAGTGAATGAAAGTTTATGGACAAATGGGTTACACACAGAATGGAAAATCAATTGTCCACGTAACAGGTTCACTCTTGCCTCTTCCCTGGATTTCAATTTTTAATTTAAGTATGTGCTACAAGGGCTTGTTAACCTGAAGGAATGGATTATGGTCAATGTTGGCTGATGAAGACGCTATTTTGGTCATGTGTGTCTTCAAAGGCATGCTTTTTCTTTCTTTATGTTTACCCTTGAACACTGGTGTTCGCACTGATACATCTCCTTTGGCATGAAAGGTTTCTTCTGACACTAACAATGTTATCTTCATAAGATTAAAAAACATTATCCCTCTTTGTACTGTATATCATGTTTTGGCAGCCTGTTACATACAGGTTAAAAAAAGAAACCTCTTTTAACTGACATGCTTTATAGCACATCTTCCTGATCCAGTATATATATGTGTGTGTGTGTGTGTGTATGTCTGAGTAAAAAAATCCATTACACAAAAAACTATTCAGCAGTCATGGAATGATGATTAACTTTGCAGACAAAATACTCCAAACTTTCCAAATTGTTGTCATTTAATAGTATGTCTGAACTGACATTTATAAGTCAGTAATGAAGATGTACTGTTAAATGTTGCCATGAATCTACTGGCTCTTTGTTAAGCGACCTGCAAAATGGTTAGCTTCTGTCATCACCATTTTATGCCGAGAATCAAAACTATGTATAAGCAGCCTTTGGCACTGTCTAACTTTCATACATGTTTATTGCTAAACTGTTAATATGGCTTTTATAAATACTTTGCTTAGTCTCAAACTGAGACGAACACCAAGTTTCTCCCGTCTTTCTTAACATTGATGCATTTTAGTAACCGTGAAATGATCTTGCCACACCAGAGGGCAGTAAAAAGCTCTGTCCCAAAACCTCGTAACATCCGCGGAAATATAATCCAAAAAANTCAAATGCACCCAGGATTTTTCCAACAATTACACTTGGAGGGTTTAAACGGTTGGGGCATACACACACGAAAAACAATACTAATGAGTCTACTGACTTTAAGGAGACCACTGAACTGTAAAGAAGATAAAACTAAACTCACCCAGTTTTGTGAATGATTCTTACATTCTCTTAATACAGTATCTTCAAAATACACTGGCTAAGAAATTTCAGGATAAAAATACATTCAATTCCTCAGATGTTATTCTTCACTTCACTCAAAATCCTTTCCATTATCAGAAAAGCAAGACACAGACACTATGTTTTCTATCATAATCCTCTTTTCAAATGCTTCTGTGTAACTGGCTCTGAAAAAAANCCTGTAAACTGCTTTTTTAGTTAAGAAAAGTTCCACTTCAGCACTCAGACTAGATTCCCTTAGAAATTTCCATCAGTCAACTATCTGAATCCACAACATTGGCCTGGATAGCTTTTCATTCCAATGGTAAGCATGCTTTATTAATTTTTTATTGTGGTACAGTATACTTGCATTAACTCTATTGCAAACTAGTAGCATACCTTTTTCTTTTTATGAGAATATGTGCTTAGATTAGGAATACTCTAAGGCCCAACCACCTTAATGACTTAACTGCTATTCTGAGTTACATATAACATGCTTGGGAAGCTGCAGCCTTTGATTCTGTTTTTCACTATAAAGTTAATGGATTGGAAAACAGTTTGTCTCTTAACTAAGAAGCATTTAATAGAATGCCATATCTGCCTCAGAAAAAAACCTCTGTAATCGTCAATAACCTATATTTTGCATTAGTGTTAACATTATAACTGTGTCTACGGGAAATGGGTCACCACTTGGGATTCATTTATAGTTCAACAGGATTTCAGGATTTTATGCACTGCAATCTATTTACAATTACAAACAGAATGCTCTGCGGACAGTGGAAAGCATTTTGCTGGATGGTAGCCTTGAAGCACAAATGGGCTTGAAATTATTTACAGAATTCTTAATGTTTGTACATCACACTATTTTAGGCTGCATTGACCAGTGATGGACAAAGCAGTGCTACTTATTTTGATGTTGCTCCAATGATATGAACAGCCACAATTTAGAAATGTCATAGATTTTGACTTGATCTTCCACTTGTTTCCACTGGCATTGTATTTTTTTTCTATCTCCCCACCCACCCCCACCCACATCCCTCAAAGGCTTGATTAAGTCTTAACCCTTATTTTGTTAGCCAGACCAAATGCGATGACAAGTTCTTCAAGGGTTAATTAAAAAAGAATCATGGAAGATAATGATTAAGCAACACAATTGGACAGCACTGTGCTTAAATAAGATTTTGGTTTCAACAAGGCGGAAAACCCTTTCAGTGCCAAGATATACTCTGTGACAAAACACGGTAAATCTCACATTCCTAAATTGTTCATTTTTAGCACAGTTGAGTAGCTTCTCTAAAAGGAAAAGGTAATTAAAAATCAGCACGACACTGTTTCAAATCCCCCCCACCCCCACCCCCTGCCATTGTATTTATACTTCATTTTGGGGACCCCGATTCCTTTCTCTGGCATTCTTTTTTTCTTTATGCTGAGCTGCTTTGCAATACCCTGTAATCTGCAGTACTGTAAACACAGCTCCTTTGATGTTCCTGCTAACATCCTGGCAACAAAGCAATGCAATTACAAATGAGCTAATTAACTAAATTGTTGATGGAGCATGAACAGTTCATTCACCCTGTTACTTGCACCATGACAACAAGGGATTTTCAAATTGTGAAGTTACTCATCTATACAAACTGCCTACAGCCTGCACTAGACTTGGAGAATAAGAATGAACCATCCAGGGGCCTAGGTGTTACCCAAGCCATTGAATCTTTACACTGACATTTATGTTCCATTTAACTGCAGAATAGTGGGCCGTCTCAGTTTGCACTAATACATTGCTGGTCAGGGTCGTTCGATGATCATCCTAGAATGTAATACAATACGATTTACACCTACGATGTGAAGCGCTTTGGAACGTCTCGAAGATATAAGGCGCTATATCAAATATAGGGATTATTATTATTATTATATCGTACCCTTTCATAATGGGAGAACATCCCAAAGCATTTGACAATTCAGGCTGGGCAATGGAGTTAAGGGTGGAAGTAAGGAGGGCAAAGATGACCTAAAGTGTAGGCAAAGATGTGACACCAAATGGCTGAAAGGCCGCTGCCAATGGTGGAATGGACGGATAGAGTGGAGGATGTAGAGCAGGTCAGTGTGGACCGAGTAAACAGAGAGACGGGATTGGTATGGGTAAAGATGGTTTCAAAGGTAGGGTGGGGAAAGACCATGGAGGGATTTGAATGTGAGAACGAGGTTCTTTTGAACTCAATCCACCGGTGGATAAGGAGCCAGTGGAGGCCGAGGGAGGATGGGAGTGGGGGAGGACATGGATCACACTCATTACCTTTGGAGGGCTGAAAGAACATGTATTTCTGAGGGGAACAAAACTGAATCATCTCCTTCTCTCTTTTCAAAACCCCCAAAAATCAGTGATTTCCTAAAATGGCCAGTCGCAAAATAATCCGATGAAAGAAAGATCCTAAACACCCTGAATTCAATCGATGAGGGAATTCAATTGAATCAAGTATAATTCTGTATGCCATGTCGAATGTGGCATAGAAATGCTGACACAAGTCTGAAAGGGTTAAAACAATCCAGAAGCAAAAGGTAAATAATAGTTTCATAGGCAATCTGCGTGTGTGAGAACAAAGGCGAACAGTCTGGGCCGGAACCCCTTATGGTAAATTTATGCAATAAACTTACTTTAAAAACTGTCCAAAATCTTCACAAATACTTTCACATCCAGGCCATTTGCACACGCCGTGGCCGTACAGAGGATGAGTGGCCCCAGTCTCCTCATGTGATGAGCTGTAGAAGGATAAAACGGCGTCAGATTAATCTCAAAAGCCATAATCGTTGGAGGCTGCTAGCGCCTGTCAGGTTACGATCAGTGACAAACGGGTCAAAACAGGTCAATTGAGCTCAGAACAGTCAGGAAAAATTAATCATTCTATTGAATAGTACAACTGCCAAGGCTGTATGATGTTCCAATTAGGAAAGAAAGGAAGCCAAAGATGGCTGTTAATAAAGAGTGAAAGAAAATGGAACGACTGCATAACACTGCCTGATTATTTAGCCAGGTGACACTGATGTAAGATTTTTCACATCAAAATGCTGAATACAGTCATCACAGCAGAAATACAATAATTTTAACCTTCACTCTGCATAAAAGTCAACTCTGGGAACAAGATACCCTGCACATTTACTTGATACAGACAATTTGAAAATCCGCATAAGATGTACACAATTATAACGGAGACCCACTGGGAACCAAAATGCTTTCCTCAAACAAAATTACAGATTAAACGGCATTCAAATTAGGTGCTGACTTCTTTACCCTGCAATATTCTCTTCCAATTCGAGAATTAAAAATTGGTTAATCCTGACAAAAAATTATTCTTGCTGTAACTCGTAGAGCACTGCAGGAAGGGAGGAATAATTAGAAAGACGGATGTTAAATGATTTTCTCCTTATACTTGTAAATCTAAAACTGCTGTAATCACACACTTGGATATTGTGGCAATGTTTTGCTGGCAGGTTCTGTTTTGCTGTCAATAATACTTAGCATCTATGGGCAATAAAACTGTCTCAGCGTCTAAATATCTGTAAACAAGAAAATCAAGCTTAATCTGTAATTCCAAATGACACAGCCTTTCAAAAAGGCTTGTAGTACAAGTGCATGCTCTGAAAATACTCAGAATGCATCTCTTTCAATTTTCTCTGATTGAATTATTTCCCCCCTTCCCTTGTGTACGCACCAAATAGGTGTTTAGTTGTGCACAACTAGTCAAATGTATATGAGTGAAATTATCCTTCATGTGCAAAGTGCAAAAAAAGTACGAAAAATTTATGAAATATGGTATGAAGCCATCATTGCCACCTGAGTTGTTTCTAGACTGCAGAAAACAGGATTTTTGAAGGCCGTCTCAACATTTCTAAGAATATATATTTTTGTACATGGTTTCGCACAGGATTGACGACTGTGGAAATCTTGCCCCATGGGGAATAAAAGATTGTGCTGGTATGTAAACGGACTTGCTTTCCTTTTTGGAGTGGAGGAAAATTGGGAGATAACTGAACCGATCAGCCCGTTCCCTCTACATAGCCTTAGTGCTAGATTTCTCATGCAGGTTATATTGAAGTATATAAAAAAAAGTTACAGTTGTAAACCCCAACAGTAAAAAAAGGAAGGGAAAATCCATTGACACGTGAGCAATGGCATGAACTCTGGGGAAGGTTTTGAGGTGTTTAGATATATATCTGAAACCCTGTATGAAAACATGACATTTGAGTTAATCCTTCTTGCACCTTAGTCAAGGCAAATTGCAGCAGCTGCACTTCTTAATGCGATGCTACATAACCATATCAAAAAATTTAGAACTAGTTTTCAGTCTATTTATTGGTGTAGGTCCCACCTTCAAAACTCATAAGTAATAATAATAATAATCCTTGCATTTTGATATAGCGCCTGATCATATCTTTGAGATGTCTCAAAGCGCTTCACAGAATATACTGTCAAGTGAATTGACTGCGTATTTTGTGGGCGAAACGTGGCAGCCAATTGCGCACAGCAGTATCCCACAAACAGTCGTGGATTGAAGTGACCAATTTATTATTAGAAACAGTGAAGATGAGTGTATTTTTAATTTTTTTAAAAAAGTTCAGAATAGAGTAGGTTATTTTAAAGAGTAGACAATAAAGTATTAAAAATGGGAGAAAACAGGGAAAAAGGAAAAAAAAGGGAGGAAAGAGGTGAGTGGGAGTTTTTCGTTTTTTTTCCTTAACTTTTTCCTTAAAATTGTTTGAGTGTTTATTTCTCTTGGGACTCAAATTGCACTGATAAAGGTACTCCTGACATTTCTGTAGCTTTACTGCTGTAATATTTCGGGCACGTTTTAGCGTGATGTGAGCTTAAAAAACAAAGCAGCCAGATCTGGGATTTTCTCTGATCTCCCAGCAGCCAAGGAGTTAAATCTTGTAACACAATCCTTTGCCTGCAGCAGCAGACGTTTTCAGACATGCATCAAGTTCTAGGCTTCCACAGGCTGAATGAAGCTCATGGAAGTGTTCCAGGTCTTTCAAGAAATGATATAATATAGAAACTGCTATGATGAACAAAATCTGAGGTGAGGGGAAACAAAGAGAGTTACAGACTTCCACCCAATGCTATTATGTCTATACAAAGATGGGTACATTAAATGGTGCTTTCCCTCTGACTTGTTTCTCAATGAAAGAGATAGATAAAAATGACATAATGTATCCTTAATCAATCCACTACACAAGCGTATAGTCAAGACAGACCAACATCTCCACATCCAAGCACATTTGAGAACTCGTGGCCACATCTTAATCTGCTTGCCGTTATGCCCAATGTGGAATAGATACAATGGTGTCTTCAAAAGCTATGACACACATGGTTTGTTGCCGGCGCTGTGACCAAAATATGAGGCCTTTAAATTTAGGTTCCCAGGGTAAGATTATAAGCACCATGCTGGTTTAGTATTACATGCAGAGACCCATGCTTAAGAGCATCCAAACCAGTTGGAGAGTTCCGTATGTAACTGAGGGAATATAGGTTTGATCCTCGATATTAGTGAACAGAGAAACTGATCAGAGAGGTACTTCTTTGGTACTTGCTGGGGGCAGGTGTAAGAGGACTACTAAGGACACCTGAGAGCAGGTTGCCTCTCTCAGCAAAAGGTTGGTGCGTACACTTTGAGAATGTAAAAATATAAAGAGAATTATACCACTGGGAAATGTATATCTGACTTATCAAGGACTTCAAGAAGGGAAGAATTTCTGCCTTCCATAGTTTTCCGACGAACATTTGATTTTTTGCATAAGTGTACAATTAATGTCTAAGAATAAAATAATTCATTGGATTTATCCTTAATGAGGACCTTTATAACAATGGGGAATAAATAGTCCATTAAGTGATTTAGTCCATTATAATAGTCCATTATAATCTGTGTGAATTTCCAGTCACCTCTTGCATTCATAAGCAACCGTTTTGAAATTTTGCTAAGGATTCAACTCATTGGACCATCTCAGTCCCAAACAGCACGTACTACACAGAGAGTTAAGGAATTGAGTTAATTACACTGAGTTAAAGAACTGTAATAAGGTGTTAGTTTTGTGCCTTAACATAATGAGGGATTTTACATAAAAGTTTTTAATGGGACTCTTCAAATATAGAAAAAAATTGACAAAGGATTTATTTTTTTGAGAAGGAGGGAGGAGTGTTTTAGAGGAAATGAACAGTATCTTTGTCAAGATGATGCCATGCACACAAGACATATTGGTGTGTTTTAATATAACTTATGTCATCGTGGCATGAGCTTGTGAACAAATCAGAAACTTCCTGCCAATCATTCTTAAATGAGATAACGCCCTTTTATAATCAGAGTCTGGAAGTTATATTGAATTAAAGCAACAGCGTCTAGTAAATGGAACATCTCATTTTCAAATGTCATTTTTACGTATCTCTTTCATTGAGAAACAAGTTATAGGAAAGCACCTTTTAATGTACCCGTCTTTGTATAGACATAATAATAATAATCCTTGCATTTGATATAGCGCTTTTCACGTCTTCTAGCATTGGGTGGAAGTCTGTAACTCAAACGAGTGTATATCCTACTCCTTGCTCCCAATTGCACTCACCCAGGATTGAGGGGAGTTCTGTGAATGGAGAGAGCTCCACTAGCTGGTGTCTTTTCTTAATGCTATTAAAGTGCTGTTTGTACAACTGAGTTAGAATTTTACAGCACAGAAGAAGGCCATTCTTGACACACTAGGCTGAATGGCCTTATTCAGGGCTATAAATATCTAACTACTCCCTCACAAAGAATTAAGGGAGTCGGGTGGTGGGGGCGCGGGGGGGAGAGAAGAAATATATCTTATAAACAGCTTACAACACTAAAAAAAAATTGTACATGTCTGACAGGTTTCATTTCCAAAGACAACTCCTCTATTGGTGATATTTACCTATCTCTTCTTGTTGTGAGGATTGAAGCCTGTCCGTTCACTAAGGAATGATGAGATATCGGAGGCGATGCTTTGGAAGTGGTAGTGGAGGTAGTAGAAGTAGTATTATTGGTAGAGAGGTCCAGCCCGCCATGCTTCAGGACGCTGTCTTCCACATTGTGCACTCCGGTCACTTCTTTCCAGAGCTGCTGAATCTCTGCGGGGCTTAAACCTGAAATACCATGGCACAAAAATATTAAGAAAAAAACAAGACAGATAAGGATTACGATAATTGGGTGAATCGCTCACATTTTCCACGTCCCAAATCTCAATCAATTCACTTATTTAAAAATGCAGCAATGAATAAATGCTCACCTGAATTATTCATTTTAAAACTATTCATTTTGACCTTGGGATGCTCTTATTGCAGAGCTTTTGAACCCCATTTAAAAAAAAACCCTGGCTATTCCTTCTAAGGTTCATAACCTTATTCTGTATCCAACCACCACCACTGAAAATCATTAAAAACTCAAATATGGTGGTTTGGTAGTACAAGCGGTGAATCCCTTAACAGAGGGTCACGGTAGTATATACAGGGAGCGAAACATGTAATATCCACAGTGCACAAAGAACACTGGCTGTCAGTTTTGCACAAGACGTCATGTCAATAGATTCCTCTAGTCTTGTGATGGGAACAAGCCCACTGGTGTTCACAGAAATCATTGGGCAAGAAACAAGGCAAAGTACTGAGATGAGGTTCATATTTTGGTGGAAGAATCTATAAAATAATCCCTCAAAAAAAATAATGAATTGGTCATTTCAATTCACGACTGTTTATGGGACATTGCTGTGCGCAATTGGCTCCCGCATTTCGCCCACAAATATACAGTCAATTCACTTTAGTCTATTCTGTGAAGCACTTTGAGACATCGAGAAGAAGTGAAAAGCGCTATATCAAATGCAAGGATTATTATTATTACTGAAATACCTGGAAACATGGTTGGCTGGGTGCAATGCCTCACCAACTGTTTTATGCGAGATTATCTTGGCAATATTATTGCTTCCAGTGTTATCCTGCGTCAGATTACATTTAACGATTTTTTGTTTATTTATAATTTTGGTGACTAGGGAAAAAAGGAAGCAAAATGAACACAATTCCTTTCGATGGATCCTCAGTCTTTTTTTTAAACATGGTAGAACCACATCTCTTGGTTTTGTCACTTCCTACCTACCCGCATCATTTGCTAGAATGTACTTTCCTCTTGTGCAAACGTTCAATGCCATATCTGTGTTCAACCTTTCAGATAGCTGTGCTGAAAATGACCAATGAGTAATAATAATAATACATCTTGAACTTGATGTAGCACCTTATCACATCTTCGAGATGTGTCAAAGAGCTTCACAGAATATACTGTAAAGTGAATTGACTGTATATTTTATTGGCAAAATTTGTTGGCGAAATGAACCAATATTTACCACCCCTTCCTCAGCCCCCCTCCCACTGGAAAAGTCATATTGGCTTATTCTGTTGCAATTTTACTCCTAATTCATCTTGGACATATTTATGAGGAAATTCAAACTTCCCACATTTACAATTCACTTTCTCGTCAACCGCATATTGGAAACGACAAAAACAAGAACTTTTTTTCCCTAACAAAATAATGCTAATTTAAAAAAAAAATTAATTCCACCTTAAGCAAAAAATCAAGAGTAGCAGGATTCAGTGGTAGTAAAGTGTGTTTTGCCCAGAGAGATTGAGAGTTGCCCTGGAGTACCTTGTGGCAGGGACTGGACGGAAAGGGACGGCTGTCCTGGCTGGATAGTGATGAGTCCCTGACGTTGTAAGTTCATCAAATGCTGCTGCTGCTGGATTTGTTGCATTTGAAGAAGCTGCTGTTGGAAGACAATCTGTTGGGCTGCCAACTGCTGCTGTAAAATAACGACATCCGGTCAGGTAAAACAGAATCGAGCCCACAAAGACAAATAATGCACACCACATTTTTTCATCAAAAAGTGCTAAGAAAGGCTTATTTCACAATTGATGACAAATTGTCTCTTCTCTTCATTGCTGAGTATTATCAAGATTTTTTTTGCAGTACGGTTTAGAAGACGATTGCGCTCCCCTAATTTCCTCTTCAGGTTCCAGCGCACTAATTTGTTTTTTTTAAACTTGTCGGCGTGAGCGGCCAATGGATTTGGACACCAAAATAATCAAGCTCAGAGATGTTTGCGTGATTTGCAAATTTTATGGCTGTATTATTTGTACAGAAAGGCACAATTACTAATCAGGAGAACAGAATAAGTAGCTGCAGGAGTATTTTCTTCTTCCTGGATCTGTTGTAACCAGTAACAACTACACTGGCTATATTATCTTTATTATTATTATTATCATTATCTTCTTCTTTCCTGGGTCTGTTCTAATAATCCTTGCATTTGATATAGCGCTTTTCACGTCGGGAGGACGTCCCAAAGCGCTTCACAGAACACACTGTAAAGTGAATTGACTGTATATTTGTGGGCGAACGCGGCAGCCAATTGCGCACAGCAATGTCCCACAAACATTGAAAATTGAAAATGACCAATTTAATTATTGTTTTTAGTTTTGGAGGGATTATTAGGCGTGTGGAGTAAGGAAACTTGCCCAAGGTTTCGTCCTGCCTGGAATTGAACTCAGGTCTCTCACTTGCAAAGCGAGTGCTCTAACCACTGAGCTACAGGACTCCACGATAGCCTAGTTTCTGTCTGCCAAGCTTCCTGATGCTTGTCCAGATAGGACTGTCCTACCCAGTTATGGCTTCAGGTTGCAGCGTTAACAGGAGCTGAGTGAGAAGAATCGCTGCTACCAGTGCCTTGTCTGCCCCCTAAGTCCTGCCAATGCTCCAAGCTGGTTGTTCTGCAGATTAACAGTGCCCTGAAGTACCGCAGTCCCATCTGGCTCAGTTACGAGGCTATCGAAACCAGGCTAGTTCTAACCAGTAACAGCTACACTGGCTATATTTATATTAAATTCATACCCTATCCTTATTCCGTCCATAACCACAAAGCCATCCATGTATTGTTCTGACTCTAAACATAAGTCCATCTGGTTATTCCACACTTCCTTATCTTACTTCTGCATACAAAGACCCTCTGTTTACACACCATCCTTTCACACAATTACAACCGACATGATCAAGGATACTAAAACGGTCTACAAGTCACACACACTCATTGCTCGTTAAACACGCTGACACATTTGACAACAGCAACGGTTCCACAGAGGTACTGTACATGTGTTTAGTAGTTTTCCATTATAACCGTAATGCATAGCAGTACAATTCATAATGGTCAACTTAACAAAGTTTCATCAATCTGCAATCTAACAATGTTAAAGTGATTACAAATTCACATTTCATGCTGGCAAAGCTAAGCAATGGTATAGTCCCATAATACATCATTCTTATGTCAAGAACTACTGGCCCATAATGCTTCAAACTGGATTACTGTCTGCCAAGCTTCCTGATGCTTGTCCAGATAGGACTGTCCTACCCAGTTATGGCTTCAGGTTGCAGCGTTAACAGGAGCTGAGTGAGAAGAATCGCTGCTACCAGTGCCTTGTCTGCCCCCTAAGTCCTGCCAATGCTCCAAGCTGGTTGTTCTGCAGATTAACAGTGCCCTGAAGTACCGCAGTCCCATCTGGCTCAGTTACTAGGCTATCGAAACCACCACAAAGGGGTGACCTGATTGTAACAAGCTGTTGCCAATCATAACACCTTGGAGCCAGCTCATCCCCAAGTAGACTCTGCTTACTTCCCACTTAAGGCAGACAATTCATACAAAATGGGTTATGACGAAATATCCAATTCACTGATTTTCTTTCTTCTTCCCACTTGCTAAAGTTTTCTTTCTTACGCACATGACCTTTACCTTTAGTAGGTCTGATATGTGCAGAGCTTTTTTTTTAAATAAAATTTTCCAGACTCCTCTCTGAAGGACCGAATCAAGGCACTGGTAACCATGCTTTCTCTCCTCCTTTTTAAATAGGATAAATTAGTTCACTTCTGAGTAGAAATGAACAGCGCTCATTGGAATAATAATTTCCAGGAGCGTAGGACACAGCAAAAATAAAAAAAAGTGATTTTACGCTTGGACGCAAGCTGTGTTCAACTGTGCTCAGCTTAATGTTTGGTTTATGTGTCTCTGCCCACCAAGGGGAAAATCTGGTACTTTAGATCTCTCCATACATTCTGAAGAAGCGCTGTCTTCTAAAAGAAAAACGTACAAATCTCTTATTTAGGAAGAGGAACACATGAGGCTGGTTTTGTAGGAATGGCACTGAGCACAGACGAGGCAAATCTTGCTTTTCAATAATTTCCCTGCGGTTTTGTCGCATGATTTGCAAACCAATAAGGAACGGTTTGCCAAATTTTTTTTGTATGAATGTCGTTACCCATTTAAAAATGTTGAGTGCGGCTATATTAATGAAGGTCTTTTAAACAATAAATGTGTGTGTGGGAAGGGAAGACTAGCCTATATATTTCTTTTTACAATATTAAGACAACTAATTTACATTACCAAAAAAAATCTTTCAAATACTAAGGTCACCTATAACATAAAATTTATCCATGCTCATTGTATAAAATCTTCACAGCAGTAGATCTTTCTAGGCAATGCTGCTTTTGCAGCTGAATAAGTTTAGTCCTTAGTGGCCCATGAATATGGTCTCAAGTGATCTATTAGTAAACTGGGATGTAGCCTTCATAGCATTGCCCTGTTAGCTTTCTTTTCTTCTCTTGTCGGAATACATTAAAACTGGGAATACATTCAAGGCAGAGAAGTGCCCTATTACAGGAAAAAGTCTAACTTCCAATTTTTTGAGGCATTACAAGACAAACTGGAGTTCTTGGGACTCAGGAGGATATGAGAAGGCAGTCACACTTCAGAGGAAGACAAGCTGCTGTGGAAGACCTTTTGCTTTAGTTTGGGGAAAAGCAAAACTTCTGATGCACTCACTGGAAAACAGACTGCATAATGGAGCAAGTCATGTGGATGGCCCAAAGCCTCAGGAGAAATAAGGGAGCAATTTCTATTCCATATTTGATGGCTGCATGAAATTCTGTTCACAAATCCAAACAGAAACAATGCCTCAGGAGGTCAAAGCTGTTTCCTGTGCGTTTGCATAATGCGTTTCTTGAAGACAACGTCCAAGATACCTGCTGATCAATTTAACTACTTCAACATGTTTTGTTTGTATTATGTTTATATTTGATGCAGTTTGCTGACAAGTGCTAGGTAGGCCAGGGAAACAGGCCTGTCAGGTTGATTTATGAGCGCATCAAACTGTAACTTTCTGCTCACCAGTCCAAACCTACAGTAGCAGTTCATTAATCAGGGACCTGTGACTTTGAAGTCTATACTCAACCTGGGTTTTTAACAGTAGGCTAAATTTGCATGCTCTCTGAGCTGTACCTCTGAGGAAAAACTGAGGCTCCATCACCAACTCAGAATCTCTGTGACTACAAGATAATCAGTACTTTGTCCATCACACAGCTTGCTCTTTGTACACTGTGATTCATTAGTGAACATTAAGAGACAGCAGCTTTGGATTAGAACTCTTGAGTCCCACACTACAAAGAAGAGGAGCACGAGAGTACTACTGTCACTGTTATTAGACTCAGCAAAATCCTAATAATGTACCTTTGACAACCAGAGCCTTGTTATGGAAAGATTCATCCTATTCTTGCCTCTCGCCTGCCCCCCTTTTCACCCCCCAAACTATTATGCAGGCAGCCTACTTAGCCAGCACGTACCTCTTTTGATTGTTTGCCTGTGTGTTGCTGCTGTTGCTGCTGCTGTTGTTGCTGTTGTTGTTGTTGTTGCTGCTGCTGTTGTTGTTGTTGTTGCTGCTGCTGCTGTTGTTGTTGTTGTTGCTGCTGCTGCAGAAGCTGAAGATGTAACTGTTCCTGCTGTTTTTTATAGAATTCCTGAAGCTGTTGCTGAAAAATAATAGATGCTACTATACTAAACCGTGAAAAAAATTAAGTGAGAGAGAGAATCTGGAGGGTAAAGAAAAGCAAATTCCAAGTGTCTTTGTGAGACAAAGACCATAGTTAAGTTCTTGGTAGAAAGTTAATTAATCTGTCAGTCTGTTCAGCTGGATGTCACAGGACTGCAATTTCAGGTGATATGACTTAACAGACCCTGAATATCGCGGTGCAGGAGGTTATTATATTTGAAAACTTCTATTAATGATTCCCCTCCCGCCTCTCTCCAGAAATCAGTTTTACAAAGATCCTCTCTGCTAATGTCATGACATGTAAGCTGCTTAATTAAATAACTTTTCAGGTCGATGAAAAGCTGAGAGGTTTAAAAAGTTCCAAACAATTTTAAAGATGACACCGGGATAAGAAAACGAGCGGTGGTAGTTTTACATCACAAAAGAATGCTAATTGTCACACTTAGCAATTGGCAGTGTGGATATATTAAGACTTTTAATGTTCCGCTTTCATTGTGCCTTTGCATTTAGTAACACGAATGTAATATGTACCGGGTTTTAAAAAAATTAAAAATGGCAAATAAAAATCAAATTATGCTAAGTCGCTTTAAACGGCCTTTTCTTTCCAGAATTAATATCTGGTAAATTCACATTGATATATCTATTAAAACGATACTTTCATTGCAAATGCTACACATTAATAATAATAATCCTTGCGTTTGATATAGCGCCTTATCACGTCTTCGAGACGTCTCAAAGCGCTTCACAGAATATACTGTAAAGTGAAGTGGCTATAATATTTTGTGGGCGAAACGCAACAGCCAATTGCGCACAGCAATAATAACAGAAAGGAAATTCAACTCGGGCTTGAAAAAAATGATCCCATCTGAGTGTGTGAGCGTGCAGAGCAGGTGTGCTGCTGGTGCTCTCATACCTGCTGTAACATGACTGCTTGCTGCTGCTGAAGGAGAGCCTGAAGCTGCTGTGGGGACAACACTTGCTGCTGGAGGATCTGCTGCATCTGCTGAGGGGTGATCACCTGGGGAGTCATCATGGCCACTGACACAGGCACCTGCTCCAGCAAGAGAGATTCAGAACATCAAGGCAACCCAACATTCTGCAGCATGCTGTGTGCGGTTTCACTTGTGCTCCTGCAAGACTTTTTTTTCAAAACGGTGCCCAGAAACAATGTCTGTCTGCCATGCTCTGCACAGGCATGCTGCTACAAGATTCTTTGTGGCAATTACTTTGTTTCCTTATGTGCTGTTCCACTCAATAAGCAAAACCCTGCACCAGGAGACTGAGGAATGCAATGAGCAGTTCTCTAAGATACACTGTTTGAAAGCATTGCTTGTACTAACCAGCTCATAATCTGAAAAGCTTGTCAACCTGCCAAGTTATTCAACCTTTCAAAAAAGCAATTACTTTCTTCTTTGAAAAGGCAAATACCTCCTAATATAAATAAAAAACTGAAGTGTAAACATTTTCTCTAACATTTTCTTACAGACTATTAAGAAAGTGATATGACAATTGCTGAAAATGGTCTATTACAGTCACAAGTGATCTGATGGGATATTACTTGTTAATAACTTTTCAATTTAGTGCTTTTTCTTTATTCAGTAAAACTTCAAATGCAGACTGTTGTTCTACTTATTGTTCGACTAGCAAAAAAAGCACATTTCAAATTGCCAGATCCCCTTGGAAGGAACAACCTAGGATTATTGCTGTACATTACAGTTTTAGTATTTCGTTCAGTTCTTTATTATGATGCTTACCAGAGAGGCTTTTCGTTAAAGTTTGCCTTTGTGAGCAGATGCGGAACAATACAGGGTGTGTAAAACTGACAAGTTGCAGCAAAGGGCACGCATCATAAGAAGCTGAGCTTTAAATAAATTAAACCTTTTTTTTCTCCTTTCTCGACAATCAGGATGCAGCCCACTGAAGAAAACACTAACTACCCACATACAATAATTAGTTGCTTCATGACATCTGAGCATTGTGTTGTGAAAATTGAAGCATCCATTAACAGAATTGTTCACATTGAAGCTAATGTCTAGTCAGATAGGGTACAGTGGGTTTTTATTGTGAACTATCAGCAAAACATTCATAATGAAATCCATTACAGAATGTGTGTATCCAAGATTGTGCAGTGTGTGGTAAAAATTGCTTCATTTTTGGCACATTTTTATTTTTCAGATAATTTTGTTGTGCAGATCAATTTTCTTCCCACCCCCCTCCATCTCTAAAAAAGGCCCAAATCTTGCTGTATTTCCAAATTCATGATGTTAACCAAGCACCATATAAGCCAGAAAACTGCTGGATATAAACACGACAGCTATGATTTGATATTATATCTCTTCAACTCAATCATCACAGGCAGTTGTAATACCCTATATCCTATGCCATGCTGCTTAACTTTGTGATTGTACTAAGCGCACCGGTGCTTCCCAGTAGGACTAAGTATATAAGACGATATGCAACTCCTGACGATGATTTTCTACCCTTAAAACCTGAATAAAACCGTATAAACAACAAGTAATGAAGTTGTAAACCATTGTAAAGTGTCAACAACCCAAAGGTACAAAAGCATTGTTACCCACTAGCAGGATCAATTAATGTACGTTGTTTAGATCACATGCAAAATGTTTTCTTTTTCCCGACGCAAATATACTGTTACAGACATCAAGAATTTATTTGCACTTAAAACGGAGTGCAGGGAAATCTCGATGTAAGCTGTGCCCAATGTCCCAGTGGCCGCATTATAAGTGAGGTGCATAAAAATTCTTCAGCTACGGAAGTGACATCAGCAGTACATCCTGGACTAGGATTAGTTGCAGAGGAGGTGACACTTGCGGTGACTTGATAAACCAGAATTTGGCCATTTTTTGAGCCCAGAAAGACGATTCATCAAAGCTGGAAACCAGGTGTCCTGACCATCTGGTTAGAGTGGATCACTGTAACCCGTGTAAAACGCGAGGCAATGCTATATGATGGGGTTCCCTTGTACATCTTGATCTTAGGACAGATAAAAACACACTGTTACACTATTGATTTTCACCTTGTTACTGGAGACCATGGGATAAATTCAATGAAAATAACGAAATGTGTGGAAGGCAGTTAAGGATGTAATCCAATTTTGAGGTTCAAATAATGCTTATAAGCTACTGTGTATAAGGTCATACGAACCCCTCGATTGGATTACAACCATGTTGATTCGTTATATTTCTTTGTACGCATGGGGAGGGTTGGGAGTGAGAGAAGAGAAGACTCACGAGCTATTAAAACAACAGCATATTTTTGTCACTTAAACATCCAGAAAATACAAGATGCAGAACTGTGTACCGACCCTTTCAAGTATTATCATCATCCCAAATGCATTTCACGTGCTAAATTAAGACAATAAGCCCTTTTCTTAATTCTACAAATGACTAAGTGACAGCTCCAGAAAAGCCTGCAAATGCATACTTTTTACAGCTTTTAGCTCTCCAGTTATGCATTTTATATCACATCCTCTTAAAAGCAGGTTTCTATGTGAGCCTTGCTACAAAAAAAAGGGGGACAAAAATACAAGCTCTTCACAAAATCTTGATAATATTTACACAACATATTTTGCGGTGCTACATGTTAAAAAGACCAAAATAGAACTTCTAAACCTCACTGGCTAATAAAGCTGCTCAGATTATTTTACACACATCTTCACTTTAGGCCTTGACATGCCCTTGTTTTTCTTTTTTCTCAAAGCTAAAGTTCTCCTCTTTGATTAGCTGAAACATTTGCATGGTCACTACACATTTTTCATTTTATAAGTCATTATGCATTAGCAGTCTTGATCGCCTAGCTTGACTAATCCTGATGAACTGAAATCACAGCTGAAGGTCAAACTACATCCCACTGCACATTCATATTCAAACAAATCTACAGCATTGTTCACAGAGTCCTGAAACTTGGTGAATTAAAGCCACCAAAATTTCCGATCTTAGCATTTTAAGCCGGAACCCTGGTTTAAAACTTCATCCTGTAAGGTAACGTGCACTCAGTGGGAAATTGCAACAGTAATCGTGTTTGTATTCTGGCTTCAAAAAGTGTTCAATTTTAAAATATTAATTTTGAAATGTACGATTGAAGCACACACCACCAGATACGATTTTACCATTAAAAAGATAAGTTGCTGCAGGCACATAAACAGTGGCCAAGATGCAGCGATCAGATATCATCTGCAAATACATTTTTAATTCTCGGTAGTCATTAAATTTTATTGACACAACTGACTGCATTAATAACTGTTAATTCACGTTTCTAATTCACTTTACTGGCTTTGCATCAGTTTCTAAGCACTCGGTGTTGTTCACGTGCGTTTGTGTGGAAAACGCATTTCTGGATTGGGTTGAAGGAAGGAATTAAGTATTCTAAATAATAACCATTTCATCAAAATATGAAGCTGTTCCAATATATATAAAAAAAACTGCCTCTCTGTGAAAACGAAATAAACATGGAATGTAAGCTTCTTTTGTTCTTTCACAGTCATTCTAAGCAGATTGATGGATGATAATCATCTTAATTTCATTTGCTCTTCAAAACAAAAGCTATAGAAGGCAACACAAGACACCAGCCCATTCATTTTAAGACCTGCATAATGCTAATTCCAGCATTTATCTGCATGGTTTTCTGCCTGATGTATCAGAGCTGGAGAGATGAAAGCAGATAAGTAATTGCTCTCCTGGTTCTTATTCTTCACTGACAACCCATAAATTTAATTTTACACACACATTCATTTACATTTTCAAGTATATGACATGATAATTGCCGGAATATAACACCTCCATTCCTGTAGATACAGCTTCTAGCTGACTGACAAGTGTGGTGAATAGAGAGGAATAGAGGTTGAATTGCAGTAAATTTTACTTCTAAAGATCAGGCTATGAAGGGCTAACAGTAATAAGCATTTTCGAATCATTCGTACTGAAAACATTCTCACATAAAAAGAACAGCATAGCATTAACTATTCCACTCTCAGTGCTTCTCCTTTATTTCTGTACAAATGTGAATTACTGTATTGAAATAATCAGGTCATTGATGCTAAATTTACTGTCAGATTTTAGGAAATTAAGATCTAACAACTGAAATACATTTGCCTTCAGTTTTATCTTATTTATATAATATCCTTATTCCCTATGCCTATGAACATGCTGAATATACTATTTTACAACCCAAAACATTGTTAGAACAAATCTTTTTTTTTGCAAATATCACTTTTTTTCTTTCCCATCTTTCCTATATTTTGGCTTTCTAACTCACGGTGTAAAAGACTACAAACTGACTTGCTATTCTGTGGTTCCAAAGACAAGTTCAAGAATGGAACAAAGCGCTCCAAATTGGATCCTGATGAGAAAACATCACCAACTTCTCAGAAGAATTTCAGATCATTAAGATGCTCTTGGTGCGGTTGGAGTCACTGATGAGGCTCTCTAACTGACAGAGGTCAACTTCAATGGAGGCAGGCAGGAAGAAAAGGGAAAACTGAGGTAGATTTACTGTGAACCTTGTACCAAGAGGCTCGGCAATTACTCTGTCTGAATACCGACGGCTAATAACAACGGATCAAAGATTGGATAGCTATCCTAGAAGCCTTCTAGTCTGCTGGCTTGTATGTTTTTTTTACACACATGCAGTTCTGTTTGTGAAAACAAAACGCCAGAGTGGCATCGCAGCGTAGTCGGAATCACCACAAACACAGCTTGTTTTAGGTTTTCAACCAAGAGTAGCGCACTGATGTGATTCAATGGCTCAAATGATCTTCACAATAAGAACAAGCTGCAATCACTGCATTGTTTCGGGAGGTTAAAACTGTTACACTTTTGACAGATTAGGGCGACCTGTTACTCCCCAAATGATAAAGAACAATTAAGGATGCTCTGATAACTGTAAGCCAATCTTCTCCACTTGCAAATATGAAGGTCAGTGTTGTGACACGTTTATAGCTCGTCTTCAAGTCTATCCCATCTCAAAAAGAATCCGATTGCAAGCACAATTCAAATTTGTTTGTGAGATTTACAACTAGCAATTTTAAAGCAG